CGCTCTCTCTCTCTCCTTACCTAATTCCGGTAAGCATTAGGTGCAGGTTGACAAGAGCTAAGCAAACATTGAAACAGCAAGGTAGAAGTAGGGAGGCAAAGATCCTCTCTACTTCCTGCCTAATTATTATAAAGAGCAAAGCAAAAACATCCTAAGTACTCTATAATATGTCCTTGTTTTACTAGTTCACGTATTAATAAGCACCCCACAGTTATTTGAAGTAAAACTACAACCAACCTATAAAAACATTCAAATATGCATCAAAATACTTTACATATTAAAATCTACTATTGGTAATTCTTCATTGCAGATATGACAGGGGAAATCTCTTTGCATCAGGTACTGACCCATTTCACTAACCCAAAGACTGAACGGAAATACGACAGTTAATGGAAACTGAGAAAACAAACTGTTTTAGAAGCAGTTATGTTTACAGAGCCATCTAGAGGAATTGTAGAGTGCTTTCCTGCCCTAAGAGCAATGTCACTGCCAACATTTAACTTTTTCACACCTATGTGCTTAATAAGAGTTGACATTTTCAGACCTCTGTAGACCACAACGGATGAAACCAAGTAGTTTATTGAATTTTAGAATCACTGAACCAGGGCACTGCTGCTCACTGATAGTCTCTTACGTTTGAGATGTACTTACAATGCTCAGAGGTATTTTCTGAGCAATGTTTCAATAGCCTTTGATCAGACATTGTAAATGGATCGGGGGAGTTTGAGGATGATGCATTATGCCTGCAGTTGTCCAATTTCCTTCCGCAACTCAACTCCATGCAACTCAACTCAAACTTTGCCTTTCTATTAAGCCAAATGGTGGGCAGGCAGCAATTCAGGGTTAGGGCTAAATCCCTTAGATACATAAAACAACAACCCCGCAACAAGTTGCATTTATAGAGCGCCTTTTACGATTGAAGGATGTCCCAAGGCACTGGACCATGAAGAATTTGCTCCTGAGCTGGGGGTTGGAATCCAGAGGGTTTGAGGGTAGGGGGAGTAGAGCTCGGAGTGTAGCCAAAGGCACGGTCAACGAGGAAGGTCTTGAGACGGGCCTTGAAGGAGGTGTTTTTCTCACAACAATTCAGTTAAAAAAAGCATAACAGGTGTTCCAACCATGTATGCGTTGCTCGGGTCACATAGAAAATATCACTTAACAATGGTAGGTTACTACAGTATGAAGTGGTGTAAAATGATTACGTCATTAGTTGAACCGTGTGGTTTATAATTGAGCAATCTATGCAGGTATCATTGAAAATTAAGCTCTGGATCGACGTGGAGATCATTTGTGAAACATTCATACCTAACTATTATTATTATTATTATTAACTTTACAATGTGCTTAAACTGGTTCTTGATTACTCAGCCTCTTCCTAAGACTTGACTGCTGAAAAGACAAAATTCGCTCAGTACAGCTCACAACAATTTATAAGGAGATCTCTGTGTCTGAAACATTTATTTTGTAAGGATAATCCCACCTGAGGTTCTGTAAATGTGCTAATTTGTTTCTTTTATCCCTTTGTGCAGTGTGTGATGCAATCATATTCATGGATAATCTCAAATCACGGTAACTGTTGATAAGAACATGGTGCTTCACTTTCTAATGATATGATTTCTATTCACTTTGGTGGGCACATAAAGAAAAATTGTTGTCTTTTGTGGTGGCATGCTATCTCACCCAAAAGAATACTTGATCTGTCTCAAAGCACAGAAACATAGTGTATTGTTCAACTGTGCCACATACACTCTGTATTGCTTCACTGCCAATTTTTGAGTCTGTACCAAGAGTGAATGATCACAGAGTCCCTTTAAAGCCAAGTGGATGTGAAATAAATGCAAAATACTGGAAATCCAGACAGACCCATCAGCAGCTGAGAGAGAAAATAGCTTGACGTTTTTCACCATGAACTTACATTTATGTTTTTATTTCCACCCTTCATATTTCTGTTAGTTTCTGAATTTTTTCTAAAAAAAATTATACCAAAACCCCTGTCTGTCTATTGCTCAAAACATTTTATTGAAGAATATTAAATCGTTCTGCACACCCAGAATAAGATCTTAGCCTCACTAACCGATTCTGGAAAGTATCAGGCACTTTCTGAAACTAGGAGGCAGTTTTTCGCCCAAAGGGTCATCTGGAACTCTCTCCCCCAAAAGGCTGTGGATTTTGGATCCATTCACATTTTCAAGACGGAGGTGGATAGATATGTGTTAGGTCACGGAATTAATGGATACTGGGCAAGGGCGGGTAATTGGGCTTGAGGTACAGATCAACCATGTTCTTATAGAATGGTGGAACATGCTTGAGCAGCTGAATAGCCTCCTCCTGTTTCTACGTTTGTAAGAGCCAAGGCTTGGGGAGTGTGCGTTGGGAAACTGCTGGAATCTAACCAGCTAACACTGCATAGCTTGCAATGCCAACCAAGACAAGGATACCAAGTCAAGTCTTTAAGTTGAGCACACTGTAATATTGCACTAAAAGGTCTACCCTTTACCCTTGTATCTTTTCTCCTTGGTCTGCATAAAAGACCAACAGCTTGCGCTTATATAGCGTCCTCTACACAGGGTAGCATCTTAGAGCACTTAACAGTGGCGGAGCCTGATGCTGAGCCGGGAGTTGAGGGTGGAAGAGGTGACCATAAGCACGGTCGAAAAGAACTCCATTATGTAATGCTAATCCAGGCAGCAGGAATTTTAATCAAGTTTACAAAAAAAACATCCAAGAGGCCCTTCATATCTTACCATAAATCATTAATTCTCCACTTTGACTTAGGTCCAAAGCATTAAATACTTCTAAGTAAACATGTCGCAGTGTCAGGCATATTGCTCTGTTTTTTTTGTGCGTAAGATTATAGTAGATTTCAAAACCTAGTGACACATACGTTTTGGTAAGGGTTGGAAATGCTGAGGCTGGATTGAAGTGGCAGAGATCTGCCATGGTATTTGTCAGGTGATAAACAAGACTCTCACTTCAAATGGAACCTGTTGATTGAAAATCTCCCTGATGATTGCAATGTTAAGCAGCAATATTTTTGAACACTGTAATCTCACTGCATTCGGAAATAAAATGTCTCAAGGAAATCTACGTTGCCTTAAAACTTTTACCGAGGTCAAATATAGATGAAAAACAAAGTAGCCTTATAGACATGAAACACAAAGCACTGAATGAAGTTAATTACCAGAAAGTAACCCATAATTCAGGTCTACCACTTAAATAAGGTATAAATGGTTTGTATGAGAAATGGGAATGACTCAATAATGCAAAAGAAAGCTTTAACAAGTAAAGATTTAACTGTTTAAAGGTGATGGCAGGGAAACCAAAGTGACCAAATATACCTTAAGGCAAAATACTGCAGATGCTGGAAGTCTGAAATAAAAACTGAAGTGGCTGGGAACAGGCAGCAGGTCAGGCAGCATCTATGGAGAGAGGAAAGTCGATGACCTTTTGTCTTTAGTTTCCTTTTGCACCATATGCTGGCAGGGCTATTCAGTCTGAGACAGCCAGCCTTTTGCTACCAATTAGGCCCTATGTGAGAAAAGGCTGAATATAGCTGGCATCTGTTTTCTCTCCCAAGATAAATGTTTCAGACGTTAGTATGCTTGATTGAAGACTCACCACGGGGAAATGCATCAATATACTGTTTGACATGCTGAGTGTTCCCAGCAACTTCTGTTTTTATTTCAGATTTCCAGCATCCGGAGTATTTTGCCTTTCATCAATACATTATTTTACTTTGGCAAAACTACCCTAGGCGACTTAGACACTGTTAAAAACATTTCAGACTTGCAACAGTTCATTGAATCGCTAAAGTGTTTGAAACTTATTTGGTGAAAAGAAACTCATCACAATCACAAATGGATTATGGCATTCATTGAAACTGGCACAACGTGTGAAGGGCTTTTATGGGAAGAGAAGATAAAATTGAAATGTGACCATTTGCAATTTGCCACCGTTATTGAAAGCTTCACATCTCTCTTTTGACCTCACAGAATTAATATAAGAAAAAAGCACTTTCTACATTTCTACAAAGCGCCCCACAGCTTTGAAAATTGGGGCATTGGGACATGCTGTTAGCAAGTGGAACTTATTTCCAGTTACCAATACCAGATATTTTAGGTCAACTGATTTTTTCTTGTTTCCAGAAATTTTTATATTGAGTTCAAAACATATGATGCTCTTAAGATTTCAACTTACTAGAAGAACTAGCAGATCAAATCGACTTGTACATGAAGAAAGAAAAACGGGTGGGGTTACCGGAGGAATTGGGCATCCTGAAGTATATTGTCATTCTAGTCATTGCCTTTAGGATAGAGAGGGGGAAAACTACAGGGCAAATAACAATAACAACAACTTGCATTTAAATAGCGCATTTATATAATACATATAATTCACTCTTTAATTTGCTGCAGTCTGCTCTCACTCTCCATAATGATTTCAAGAACATTTAATAAAACCTGACATTTGTAGATATGATTATATAGCTAATAGTTTTCAATACAGTAGACCCATAAACTGGTGTGTGAATCTCTAGTTGATTATTGATTTGAATAATTATATTGCACCTCAGTTGAGCCTTGGTGTTTTGTACGTAAAAACATCTAAACATCAGAGGAATTTACACCTCCTTCGAACCAGCTAATACGGTGACTAGAATTTTACGAATGCCAGCGTGGCTGGGAATTTTAATCTGGCTGTATTATTGCCTGACACCAGGATACAATGTGATTACTCATAAGGGATTAAAGATTTGGAACAATCACTTCATTTTTCAGAGACCAAGACACAAAGAGCCAATTTATAACCTACAAGTGAAGGCTAGTGTTCACCACTGGCTCAGTCAGTAAGTAAGTCAGGCAATACAAGCCACCAACTGGCCTGGGCAACACCTAACTGCATAGATTGTGCGTTAATTAATTAAATTGCAAACTGGAACTTTCTCCCCATTGTGCAATCTAATGAATTGAATTAGGACATGTGATTTATGAGTGAGAGTGGGCAGCTGCCTGAGCAATGGGCAGAGAATCATTTACTTGATGGTCTTTTAGCTCGCAGTGTCTGGTTGGAGTTGACAGGATGAACAGCATTTTACATCATCTTGTATAGTCTTCATCCATTTCTTTGCCCAACATTCACATCTGAAGCATAACCCTACCATCACAATTACTCTCGAAGGTTTATAATCTATCCGGACCTTACTAACAAGAGTAGAGCTGAAAATGACTGAAGAAAACCCTACTTTAGCTGCTAACTCAGTTGACACTGCTGGGTCTAAGGTTGGTATAAAAGAACAAGGGGTGGTTGATGTTATAGAGGGGATGGTAGACACTATTCCCTCAACAGAAGAAACAATTCTACTTAAACAGGAAAGTAAGTTACCTGCTAAATCCACCGAGGACAGTTCATCTGCGAAAGAGCCCATTTCATCCACTGAAATCACCAGTCCTGTGCTTGAAGAGCAAATGGTGATAGCCAGTGTGGAATCCAGTTCAGCTGCAGAAGTGACTGTTCCATTGAGTGTGGAGATGAATTCACCCGCAGAAGAGATTACTCCACCCCTTGAGGACACCAGTTCACCTGCAGAGAAAACAGTGCTAACCTCTGTGCAAACCAATTCACCTGTTGAAGAGATTGTTCCGCTCAATGTGCAGACGAGTTCACCTGAAGAACAAATCGTTCCATCTGCTGACGAACCCAACTTGGCTACAGAGACTGCATCAGCTGCAGAAGAGGCTGAATTGCCCGTTGAGGAGAACATTACAACTACTGAAGAGATTGATCAACCCAGGGAAGAACGTGTGTCATCCCCAGGAGCAACCATTCTCACCACAGAGGGGATTATTTCTCCTGTGGAGATTATTCAGTCTGAAAATGCAGAGAGCGAAGCAATCACAACGCATCCTGAAAAAGAAGAAATTGAGGACAAGGATACAGTGCAAGACAACAGGGCCAGGGAAATCTCTGCTGGTGTGAAGACCAACGAAGCAGGTAAAAATCATTGTTTAATATAATCGCTGGCAGAATGGTTAATTGTATTGGATCAGTTTATCATCTATTATTCTTGAAAAGAAATACATCTAATTAACTCTTCGCCCACAAAATATAGTCAATTCACTTTACAGAATATTGTGTGAAGCGTCTTGGGATGTCTCCAAGACGTGATAAGCCGCTATATCAAATGCAAGTATTATTATTTTCATTACTGCCTGTTAATTAACATTGGTTGGATCTTGAGCAAGCAATGCAACAGACAATTACCGGTACAATTTATACAGCTATCCAATATAGAGTAGAATACAAACGTAAACCCCAAATGTAATGGAAAATTGGCTCGGTTTTGAGCTACAAAGAAACATCTCTCTCAGCAGCAAAGTACTATATATTGAAGTAATTAATAAATTACAACATTTTAACAGGGAAATGGACAGTAATGGACAAGACTTTCAATGATGCTTAAGTTTAATGAAATTAACAATTATATTAGGAGCTGCAGAACCCAGTTTTGCCCACAAAATATACAGTCAATTCATTTTCAGTATATTCTGTGAAGCGCTACATTCTTGAAGACGTAATAAGGCGCTATAATCAAATGCAAGGATTATTATTATATTAGAGTCTAGGATCACATTATAATTCTCAAATCCTGCAATCCTGCTCTTAACCCCTTATATATTCTTACACAAATTAGGACAAGAACAGGGTCATTGCAAGACAGTTAAGGATCATGTATGGGTTTGAGTTTTATATAGTTTTCGTTTATTACACGACAAACTTTTTTTCTGTCTGTTTTGGATTGAAAACCTGTACATAGAAATATTTGAAGTGACTCAGAGTATTTTTTTGCAGATATTGGGAATGTGGTGGATTCCCACATGTGGAAAGGGGGAAATGCTCCTTTTTCTTGTCATTTCATCTTACTAGAAGACACCCTGTTTAATATATTCCATACAGTCCCCAAATGTCCAATCCACAACCTATAACAAGAACTTCACACGGGGCAGTGTCTCAGAGCGCTTAACAGTGGCGGAGCCTGACACCGAGCTAGGGGGAAGGAGAAGGTGACCGTAAGCACCGTCAAAGAAGAAGGTCGTTAGCCGTGATCTAAAAGAGGGGAGGGAGGGAGGGAGGGGGCAAGGCAGAGGGGGAGAGAGTTCCTAAGCTTTAACCACCGCTCTGACCAAATTTAATTTACAATTATTCAGCTACTGAAGCGTTCTGGGTTTGGAAGCCAATTTCGGCTGCTGGGTTTGGTGACGAATTAAATAAAATTAATTTTAAAAAAATATATCAGTCCCTGCAGGGAAACCTTCAGAAGAGGTTGTGCCATTAACAGAAGAAGATTGCAAGGTGAATGGAGATGGCAGTGTAACAGAAGTTGATGATGATATGGAGGCAGACGAAGAGGTCTATTCAGAGGAATTCCAACATGAAAATGGATCATCGGTATCTCCTTCAGTTAGTCCTGTTCTCAGTTATCAACTGGAGTCACCAACCAGCAGCGACTGTACTGGGAGGAAGCTTGACATCACCAAGCACAATTACTCCAGGTATAACACAGTCTCCTACCGCAAAATCAGGAAAGGAAACACTAAGCAGCGAATCGATGAATTTGAGTCCATGTTGCATATTAATTGAATACCGCAAGCAAACTTACAAAGATAACCACATTTCTCTAGTTTAGTTAATGTAATTGGACATTGTTTTCACTTCTGAAGCTAATATATATATCTATATATAATATATGAATGTAAAGTAATCGAAATACAGAATAAGCAAAAGTTTCTTGGGTTCAAACTTGGAAAGTATATTAACTATGAGTTGGAATAGGAATTTTGCTAATTAGGATAGATCATATGTCTCGCTTTACAGCATGACCAAATTGCTTTTGTCATTTTTAAATTCAGGAATTAATATATAGCTCGTCATATACTCCTATTTCAAACCTATCTTATAATGTTATCGATGACTATCCTGTTGTATCTTAAAATGTATCTACACAGCGTGTGTTAGTGTTAAGAAAAAAACATTCCCTGCTGCGTAAACCAAAACTTTGCATGGTTAGCACAACCCAAAGCAGTGAATAATGCTGTAAGGGTTAATTGGAAAGTATCAGAGCTTTACATCAAAGTACAGTGCATTTTTCTTATGCATATAAATAATGAAAAAAATTTATAAACACATTTATGAACTAGTAAATATACAAATGATGTCTCAACGACATGATAAGGCACTATATCAAATGTAGGTATTATTATTAAATAGATAATCAGAATTATATTTTATTCCTTTCACCCAATCGCAGTTCGAAAGGTCAAAGGGCTATTTACACGTGTTGCTTTCTGAAGCGGTAAATTTAGTAGCCTTTTTCAAGCATTAAGTAAAGTCATTATACTGTCATACTTTGCTTGCAAACTGTTGTAATAGGAAGAAATTGTTAATTCTTGATATGTTTGGCACTATTCCCTTCAATATTCCCAACTAGCTGCAATAAACATTCATTGATGTGCGATAGAATTCCTAATTTAATGGATCAGCTATATTGCCTTTTCCTTGTTGAGATCATTCTGTGCTTAAAAAAAAACAATAAATTGATGCTTCAAGGATTTTACACCATTTGCTTTATTGTCTTTTATTTGCTTTGGTATTTATTTTGGTAACGCCATACTGCTGTATATGTCACACAATGCTAAAGGATACCTATTGTACTTCTGTCCTTCACTGCAGATCTGTAAGGAAGCCCAAAATGGCCTTATTGAACCTTATTGAACCAGCCCCGTGTAAACAATTTAATTACTTATTCAAACTCACGGAATACAGATACCGATGTTTAGACACAGCACTGTTTGCATTCTTTTATACACGAGAAGAGAAACTCTGGTGTTCAAAGTGAGTAAGATCTTATTTATTCCAGTGATGAAAGGACAGTTTGTTCCAAACCAAGGCTGATAAATCTATTCTTCAGTACCATTCCCATGCACACAATATCATTGGGAAGATGGGAATAATTGTCCGATGGTTCTTGCAAAGGCCAAACACATATTTAATTGTTCTAGTCCGGGAATTGTTTACGGTTCAGGGAAAATGATTTGGACAAAAGTTCTTTATCTCAGAGAATTGCAAGTGTTTCCTGAGTCAGGGTGTTGGACTGACTAACACAATCCTCTGTATTGCTACACAGAATTATTCACAGTGAAACAGTGTCCTCTTGTGGCATTCTGGGCCCATAACCACACCATTAGCTGTTACTCCGAACTAGAAATACTCTTTCCATTTGAGAAATGATGTCTAGCCTATCTTATGCACAATATCACTGATGCATTGACAGTCAATCAATGTATGTAGATGGTATATTTTGTGTTTTGCCCACAAAATATACAGTCACTTCTTTACAGTATGTTCTGTGAAGCGCTTTGAGACATCTCGAAGATGTGATAACGCGCTATGTCAAATGCAAGGATTATTATTATTATCATCATCAAAAGTGGTTCAATAAAACAGTTTCTAACCGTTTGAAGCTGGTCAGGAAAAAAATATATACAAACATCTTTAGAATTGTCATACTGCTTAATTCACTGGATGTTAAATATAGTTCATTAAAGATTAAAAATATCTATTCCATATATTCTGTACTGCAGAAAACTACATCCACATGAAGTCAATCAAAAATATTACATTTAAAAACTTTTTTTTACCATTTTAATTTGTTTTTCTTACAATACAATTCACTCGATCCGTATCTGGTCTGGAACCTTCTGGAAGGTTTCTGACAGAGGTAAGAAAGAGGAATTCTAAAGCTCTCAAAATCAAACGGAAAAATTCGCAAAATTTCCCAAATGTACAGTACCTTGCATTCACCATTTCCACAGTTTTCAAGACAAAAGGTAAAAATAGATTATTGCACCGTATTTGCAGGTTAAGAAAAAGAGGTCTGATGTAAGTGTCCGGGTAGGAAATTATTCTCCGCACAAGAAAGGAAAGGTGTACGTCCACTTCACTTGTACTGCAGTTTTTTTTCAGATTCTCGTAGAGAAAGACTTGTTCTGAAGTCATCTGCCCAGGACGCAGGAAAGGTGGAATGTCCTTTGAGGTTATTGGCCCCTGCACACATCCAATATTATTTCAAAGAGCCACAGGCACGGATGCGCGAGTTTGTGTACCGACCCGTCCATCATTCCTTATAGTTGTTGGTAAACTGCCATTTTTGGTAAACATTCGCTGGATCACAGGTATTTAGTACCAGACTTTTTCCAGAGCTTCTGCCTTCCAGACATAAAGAAAGCTGAGAAATCTCCCACAGTATATGTTCGACCTAAAAATAATTATAAATATGGAATAAACATCATTGTAATTAATTTATTTTTCGCTCACAAAATACAGTCAACCCCTCCTTTACAATATATTCTGTGAAGAACTTCTCAATGATGTGATATATCAAATGCAAGAATTATTATTATTATCATTATCATGGCACAGAGAACTCGAAAAAAGGGTCATTGTGTTAAATTATAGTGGAATAGTTATTGCAGTTTTTTTTAAAAAAGTGGCAGTATTGTATTCTATTGCATTTTCAATAGTTAAAGTTAAGAATACAATTCGCTAAAGAAATAACTTTGGTGTTGAAATTATCATTAGTGAAATCAAAACATACTTTTTTCTCAATAGCAATAGGTTGAGCTTTCTCCACCCGAGTCCTGTCTGGCTCACAGTACAATGTTGTTGAAGCCCCGAGGGAGTCCCATTTTATGAAAAAAAATGGAACTGCATTTTGAAAGGGACTTTTCCCATCGAGAAAGTTTCAAAGCACTTCCCAAGCGATTAGTGTCCAGTGTAATGAATGTTCTTGTCAGCGAAAAAGGCAGCCACTTGCACCAACATGTCCCACAAACACCCACGAGGTGAATGACTCATTGCCCTGAAGGATTGCTAGTCAGAACACAAAAAAACCTTTTCCTTTTTGAAGTTTCACCTGAATAGTTCAGCGTCTCTCACAATGGGGTACTCCCAGGTACTGCACCAGAATGCCAGCCTAGACCACAAGCTCAGATCCTGACATGAAGCCTCTGTGCTTGTGCTTGCGTAATGAATAGAGTAGTAGAGATCACTGCTTACAGGATAAAACAACACATTTCAGCTTGTATGATTTCATCCCAAGGAACTCAAAGCATCTTCCTCCCTACTCCCTGAATCCTTCCATGTAAGAACCTACCTTCCTGAATTCCTAACTGCAGTGGGATACAGTTGAGTGCTATTTTGTTAAACAGAAATTAACGTGAGACATATTTTAAAAAGAAATTAAGTCGGATAGCGACTGCATACCGCATTAATATCCTCCAACTTGCTGTGGTTCTCTTGTTGACGGCCAAAGTAAATATTTGCAGTAGTGTGAAGTGTTTACACAGCAGACATTAATATTTAATCCTTTTCGATTCTATTGCAGATGACAGAGAATACCAGAACACCATCATGTGCTGAATGACTCAGTTTGGAAGATATGCAGGCACTTACCAGTGCTGGTTCAGCTACAAGGGATTGGTGGAGCCACCTCTGATTATCCTCTTTTTTATCACAGGGTTTCAGTCCTACTTGTCGTACTTTGTTCAATAAACTCAAACACAAATCCATCTGCTTAATCAAGCTTAACCATGTGTGGCTAAAGTTCTGGCTCTGAAAGAGACAAGACAGTTATTTCATGATTTTCTGGCAAATGATATTGTAATCATTCCTTTTCAATAATGTTTCAGTTTGTGTTGGCGTGGGGCATTTCTATAAAGGCCACTCATGCTCAATCTCCGCAAGATTCATTTCTCATAAATTTCCAATGAAAACTGTTGATTTGAGAACGGTTTATTTTGTGTCTAATGTTGGAACCAAATGTTCCTTCCAATCATTCCTCCCCTCCAACTGCTGAACTTGAGGAATTTAAAAAATTGCTGAAGAATGCTTTGCTGTTAAATGCCTTTTGTCCAAAAAGAAGGCATAAGAGAACTCACTTCTGTTAATTTATTCACTTGCTTCACTTCATGCCTTTTGGGTATCTAACTAACTTTAATTTAGCCAATTTAACAGATAACATTGTTATCAGGCTTTGCTATCCTTTTTGCAGGTTATTGCTGTTAACCCCAAGTGCTTTGTTTAAGATCCTTGTCCTCCCTTTTAAAGCCACGGTCTTGCTCTGTGACTTATTAGCACCATAACAACTTGTCCGCTTGCTCCGCTCGGCAGGCACCGCCCTGCCCACTGGGCCTTCAGGCTCTCTGTCCCCACCCTCTGGAACTCCAGCCTGGAATACCTCCGTCTCGGCCCCTCCCTTACCTCCTTCAAGGCCCGACTCAAGACCTTCCTTGATGGTTGGAAATAAAGCAAATAGCTTTGGCCCAACTTGCATTAACAGAACAGATTAACTGTTGTGCTTTCCCAATAGTTGGGTTCAAGCATCATCAAATCAAAGAGGCTTACAGGACTTTTGTTCCATGGTAATAAGTCTTACACACGAGATGTATTGTTAGTGGAACTTAAGGAATTATCCCTTGAGGTAACTTGGCAAAAGTTGCTGCCAACTTGGCCCCATTTCAAAGCCTGAAAATAAATGTGCTCCCAAACAATGCTCTGCTTTCCTTTAATGTTTCTCCAGGAAGCAGTTAATTTATTTTTATGGGATTATAGTAGTTACTGCATCAGTTCCCAGCACTATACAGGCGAGTTGGCCAAAATAAGGAGATGTTACACCTCGATTTTACTAAATAAGCTCAATGTTCCTAAAGGGGCAAAAAGCAGATCAGTTTTCAATTGCAGAGTATATCAAGGGCATACATACAATGAATTGAGCATTGAGGAAATCATTTAATTTAAATATAAACTCTTGTTTCATATCCAATATCACTTCTATTCTTTGTTGTTGTTTCAAGTATCATCATCACATTAATTCCAATTGGGATTTAGTGATAGAACTCGAATTGGTGGCTTACCTGTTTCTTAACATTACACAATTCGAACGATATGGTTCCATTCTCAACAGCAAGGCACTTTCGTATTCCAACATTGAAAAGCTTAAAAAAAAGATAAGTCATTATTTCAGATGGAGAGAATCCGTTACAGAACAGCACCATCTATTGGAATTCATGACATTTATTCCTATATACTAAGTTCTCTCCTACTAAGCTTCTTTTCCAAAATTGTATTTCCAGGGGTAAAGAATCCCTTAAAAAAAATAATAATAATTTGGTCACTTAATGCACGACTGTTTGTGGGACGCTGCTGTGCACAATTGGCTGCCAAATTTCACCCACAAAATATACAGTCAATTCACTTTACAGTATATTCTGTGAAGCGCTTTGAGATGTCCCGAAGATTTGATGAGGTGCTGTATCAAATGTAAGGATTATTATTATTACGAGAACTTACCAAGCCATTCGCTCTGACCAGAGGCGCCTGTAGGTCAGGGTAGACATTTTCTAAATACCATTGGAAGCTTTTACATTGCAGCTTCTTCCGAAGTTCCTTCTGCTGTGTTAGATCTCCGATGTTGAATTCCACATTATTCCCGTTAAGTAGGTGGTGATAACCGTGGCCATAGAAAACATCAATGTATTCATCTAACCAGACCTCAGCCACACGAGCCAGGTTCCGTTCCACTGTCTTAATCCTGTCCTTTGGGAAAGTGTACGGGTTTCCATCACGGAAAATGTGACCCACTCTTGAGCATGGGATGATCTCAATCTCTCCTCCGCACATCCAAACCTGTTCCATAAGCATTGGGAAATATTTGAGTTGTATTAGAGTTTGTGCACATACATTGTTCTTTGAAAGGTTGTTTGTTATGGCAAATTGTGATTTTTAAAGCTATAATAATACTCTCAAATAATAGGTTACACACCAAACGCTTTATGGTTACAAAACGTTCAATGTAGCTTTGCATGTGTGCGTATGTGTGTGTGTGTGTGTGCGTGTGTGTGGATGGATGGTGTGCAGGGGCCTGATTGTGTGTTTGTCAAGTCTCTGTTAATTAAGATTGGCAACACCCTGAAGATAAATATACAAGAAAAAAATGACTTATTGTTCTAACGACTGAGCATTTTTTTTATTGGCATGTGTCAAACACTGGATAGTATAGTTCCTCTTTCGATAATAATTCTGTCCTGTTTTCTCCCTCTACTAGAGGGATGTTGCCACAGATGTGTGAGCCTCTGATGGTTAACGTTGGCAGGTTATTTGACCACAATAGAGTGTCATAGCCAGGCCCAAACTCAAGCTCATATGGGTTGTTTGGCAGTGAATAAGTAAGTGCAAGAATGTTGACTGATTTCCCTGGAAATCGAACCCAGGTCCTCTCACTTGTGAGGCGAGTGCTCTAACCACTAAGCTACAGGTGGACTTCATGAAATGTCTGTATCGCTACCTTAAAGGACAACTCCATGTTTTCTCCACCCCAAACTTCTAATCCTGGATCATAGGCTCCAAGTTCATAAAAGTATTTCTTGTCAATGGAAAACAATCCTCCTGCCATGACTGGACACCTGAAAGAAAATTTAAGAGTTAATCTGAAGCTGATTTGAAGCTGTTTAGCAAAGGATTCACAAGGAAACTAGGAAAGAAACACAAAGGAAAAATTAAAGGTTTAGAAATGTGGAGATTAATGCACAAACATTACATATATCTGAGTTACTTTGTTTCTCATCTCAACAGAGCTGGACTTATTCTGTTTTGCATTCATTGAATTATAATGGGCATTAGACGTGAAGATACATTTATGTATTTTTCTTTCTGTTATTTCTTTCTGGTATTTCTACAACGAAAACTACAACAGATTGCATTTATATTGCTCCTTCACATCTGGAGGATGTCCCAAAGCACAAGGCAATGGAGGGTTTGCAACAGATGCCTTCGATTAGGAGCTTGAAAATGATGATATCATAGAAGTTTCATGACCATTACAAAAATAAAATTTGCTAAAAATAAAATGGAATATCTTACCTTATTGGGTCAATTTCTTTTAGATTGTATTTTGTAACGATTTCACTTGGTATTTGCTTCCACCCAAAATTCATGGGCCATGTAAATATTCCTCGTAGAAAATTGTATACGCCCATGTAACTAAATTAGAAACAAAAATTGATGTATTAAAATAATAATAATCCTTGCATTTGATGTAGAGCCTTATCACGTCTTCGAGACGTCTCAAACCGCTTCACAGAATATACTGTAAAGTGAATTGACTGTATTTTGTGGGCAAAATACTGATATTTACTGCCCAGTAAATAGATTAGTTAACACAAAAGGGATACATACATCTGAATTTTACCTCTCTTGTTATTTTAAAGATTTGAAACAAGTTTCCCTCAATCCTGCGCTCTACAATGAAAAGAGATTTCAGCTCTGTGAGTCCTGTGAATCACTTGAAAACTGATTCGTAGAATCATCTTCCCTGCTCTTTTCTGAATTGACTCCATTGCATGAATATCCTTTTGAAGATAGTCTGCCTAAAATTGCACCAAATATTCCAAATATCCTTCACCATCAATCTATAATAATAATAATCCTTGCATTTGATATAGCGCTTTTCAGGTCGGGAGGACGTCCCAAAGCGCTTCACAGAACACACTGTAAAGTGAATTGACTGTATATTTGTGGGCGAACGCGGCAGCCAATTGCGCACAGCAATGTCCCACAAACAGTCGTCGATTGAAAATGACCAATTTATTATTGTTTTGGTTTTGGAGGGATTATTATTAGGCTCTGTGTGGAGTAAGGAAACTTGCCCAAGGTTTCGCCCTCTGCCTGGGATTGAACTCAGGTCTCTCACTTGCAAAGTGAGTGCTCTAACCACTGAGCTACAGGACTCCACAAATCTAACGTTAATGTTAAGTCTCTAAACCAACCTAATGTAGGTGTGAGACAGATTGAGATGGACCCAGGGGTGAAACACTATTAACAACAACTTGCATTTATATAGTGACCTTCATGCAGGGTAACATCCTGGAACCCTTGTAAGCTATTAAACATATCACTGAAGGTTACCTCATGTCCTCATCGCTGATCACTTCGATAACAGGACAAGATACTGTTGTTCTTTTCAAATGGATCCTTTCTAGGAGTGGCTCCAGCCAACCAACATTGCATTCAACATGAGAATCCAGAAACGTCAGCACGTCACCTGGGAAGGGAAAGGTTGTCAGCTCCAGCGATAAACTGCACACGGCAACCCTGACTCTATCTCTGGAATGCTACCTTAAAGGGCAGCTGAGCACAATTCCGCTTCTTGTTCCATGTTTTCCTCTTTCATCAATAGATTTCAAGGGAACTCTCTCCCCCACCCCACCCCTCCCATCTTTTAGATCACGTCTGAAGACCTTCCTCTATGACTGTGCTTATGGTCACCTCCTCCCACATCCCCCGGCTCGGCATCAGGCTCCGCCACTGTTAAGCGTTCAGTGTTAAGAGACGCTGCCCCATGTGAAGGGCGCTATAGAAATTAAGTCATAAAAAAGAAACAATTCATTGACAGGACAATAACACAATTTACCTGTAGCCACATCTGCACCTGCAAGTCTAGCCTGGATTAAGCCATGCCGGTCTTCAGGTGAATAATACGAACCTTAGGGAACTGTGACATATACACGTCTAAATTCTCTTTCAGGTATTCTGTGTAGAAATGGGAGAAAAAAGATAACTTATTTGTTGAATGAATTTACGTTGACGAATAATAAATCCATATGTTTAGACATGAGACGTTAAAGAGCAAAGGGTCAGCGCGTTATTACTTTTCTTGCTTGGTGCAACGCAAGAAGAAATGGTTTTAAAAAAAATTCCATCCTAAATCTGTATTTTGTAAAAGTACACATTTACACCACAATAGCTCCTTCAGATCAAACAGATGTAAGTGATTACGTCTCTCCATTTAGATTGTTTAGATTTTCTGAGTAAAATAAGTGATTGATTTGTACAGTATATTGATTTAAATCTCTAATTCTCTAGATCCTTGCGTTTGATACAGAGGCTTATCAAGTCTTCGAGAAGTCTCAAAGCGCTTCACAGGATATACTGTAAAATAATAATAATAATCCTTGCATTTGATATAGCGCTTTTCACGTCGGGAGGACGTCCCAAAGCGCTTCACAGAACACACTGTAAAGTGAATTGACTGCGTATTTTGTGGGCGAAACACGGCAGGCAAATGCGCACAGCAGCGCCCCACAAGCAGCCGTGGATTGGCGTGACCACATTTCAATTTTTTTTTTATTTTATGAGAAGAAAAAGGCTCCAGGATGAGAACTTTAAAAGCAGAAGAGAAAAAAAAATTGTGTAGATTATGAAGGCTAAAAAGATGGTTAAGACTTTTGTGGTTTTGGTTTGTAATGTCATCCTAACCTCTCAATCATGTTATAACCTAACAGGCTCCCAGAAACTGCACAAAACCAGATCAAGAAGGTGCAGTTGCAATGTTATTAAATGCTTGCGGACTCTCTATATGTGCCTTGTTCACGGCCTTGAAGGTAAAGTTCTTACTGAAGATCCAACAGCAGTAAAGACCGAGTGAACTGACATCTTTACAGTCTAATGCCCTGTGCCTGAGAGAGGAAGGCCACTGTAAGCTTCGATCTAAAAAACTTGCAGAGAAAGGTCACAAAATGGGACTTCGTAATATCACAACGTCTTTGCAACGGGAATCCCCGATTACTCAGGAACCCTGGCGTCCTTTGACTTCAGTCAAGACAAATGGAACCTATATGTTGAGGCTGTGAAATTGCTCTCAAATCCTGCCAACCACATCTCACCAGCCAACCAAAGTTGGCGAGTTACAATAAAGCTGCTCTGATCAGTGATGTGTCTGGGGATGTCCTGAATTCATTTGTTAATCAACAGCAGGCTGAAGGTGAGAACCTTTGCACATCCACGCTTTCTACACAAATCCCTTCAGGCACACCCGGGATCTTGTACTTTACCAGCGGGAAGAATTTATGCGGAGGGTAGGTATTCACCAGAGGCACCGTAACAAACATGTAGGTGTATAATTCTCCTTACAGTGAGTTTTAGATTTCAATGGGCTGTTGTCCTAAGAGACATAGCAGGGGGAGAGAAAATCACAACAGCACTGACAGCAGTTTAACATATTCCTTGTAGACTACTCTTGTCAGTGAATAGTAGAAAGGGTGCTCAAATAAAGAGAGGATTTTAAAAAAAAGGAATGCAACAAGTAAATGATTTTAAACATTATTTATCAAATTAAGTAGTGGAAGGCTTTATCCTGTTTGACAAATCTAATAAGATTTACTGAATGCAACCAATGGATCATCTTTCTATTCTTTTTGAGGTCTACATCTGCAGCTTACTGATATAAATTACAGAACAGAATTGCGTCGGAGCATTTTGTTTTATTGTGCAAGTTGACAGCAAGAATAAACTAATATTTTTCCCTCAATTGCTGTCCTCTCGCTCAGTATGTTCCTAGTCCTGGTATGTCACTCTCCAGGTGAGACCGGCCTCCGGTATTTGGCTCAAATAGCCATTATTCATAGTGCGAGTCTTAACAGTGAATGCTGATGGAGCAAAATTCCACAGTGTAGATAGCAACGAAACCTAGCTCAATCCTGTCCTCATAATAATAATACTCCTTACATTTGATACAGTGCCTCATCACATCTTCGAGTCGTCTCAAAGCGCTTCACAGAATATACTGTAAAGTGAATTGACTGTAAATATTGTGGGCGAAAAGCGGCAGCCAATTGCGCACAGTGGGTCCCGCAAAACAGTTGTGGATCGAAGTGACCAATTTATTATTTTTTGACGGAATTATTATCCCCGGAAAAGGAATCTGCCAATCAACTAATAACCGGGTTCTGACTTACTGCTAGGAACTCAGAGGCGTGTGGAGTAAGAAAACTTGTCCAACGTTTCGCCCTGCCACACAACGTTAACACAGACTGTGGTTGGGGCGGTTGCTGGAGTTTTGTCAAGAATGTGAATCCTATATGACTTTCTTCTTCCTTCCTAACCCAGGTCACGGTGTCGAATTTCCCAAACCTCCCTCTGCCTCCTCAACAGAGGTGCCTGACAAACCTGCAGTGTCTGCGCTGAAATAATAATACAACTCTAGGTTAGTCTGTCATCCACAAAGAGTGATGTTTCTTCATGGATTATAATGTATGAATTAACCCATTCAATGTATTAAGAAACATGCCATATTTCGTCCACAAAATATACAGTTAATTCACTTTACAGTATAGTCTCTGAAGCGCTTTGAGACGTCTAGAAGCTGTGATAAGGCGCTATATCAAATACAAGGATTATTATTATTATTAAATACACGCAGTATTTTCAGATCCTTATCGAAATATGTTTCTCAGCTTTCACACTGCTACCAAGAGTAAGTACTTTATAGAGAACAGTAAGAATATTATTCAAGTTCCCTTGTACACCTATGTTAGTGAAGCAACACAAATGTCTGTGCGTTTTGTGAACACAAAGTTTAAAAGTCAGCAACGAGCAGTAAAGTCTGACAGGAAACAGAGAGCGGGAGGGATTAGCATTTCATCTTTGCTGGACTGTAATGCTCTATACATCTAAGTATGGCCAGTTACCTAGAATAACATGCCCTCTGCAACTGAACAGTGCAGTCTCTAGCATTAGCTGTATTTTGATTTAAAAACATGCCAGCTCTGTACAAGCAAGGGTTCAGAAGTCCACATGGAAACGTGTCGGCCATATACCTTGACAATATCACCCTTTATTTTAAGTGTTATCATCAGAGCTTTGGAATCTGTTTGAAAGGATTAAATGACCAAACTTGAATAGTATTAGGGAAAATCATGTCACCTTTTCTGATACTGTATCATAGAGATTTGGAATATGTTGTGTGTGACATTTGCTTTTGTTAATCACTGACTCCCCCCATCCCCCCCCCCAGCACCCCACCCCCCCCAATAAAGTGAGATAGATTCTCAGTACAACATCAACAAATAACTAACTTGGGGACTGACATTGTAACCGACTCCAGGTCTTGAACATTTGAATGGATCCAATGTTAACAATAATCGGTTGTTAGTCGATTGGCGGATCGCTTTTCAGGGGGTAATAATTCCTTCAAGATATAATAATAATAATAATAATAGTAATAATTTGGCCACTCAATCCACGACTCTTTGTGGGACACTGCTATAGCAACTGACTGATGCATTTCGCCCACCAAATATACAGTCAATTCATGTTACAGTATATCCTGTGAAGTGCTTTGAGACGTCTCGATATGGTGCTTTATCAAATGCAAGGATTATTATTATTATTATAATTCAGCATCGACAGCCTTTTGAATGATGTAAAATAAACAATTTAAAGTATTGGTGAATGTACCAATGAATGAGCAACATGTGATGGTGTTGGAACCCTTTCGTTCTTACCTTTGGTGCTGAAGTCGTCCACTAGGATGATCTCTGTGATGAGATGTGATGGTGATCGGTTCAGAATGCTGTGGACTGACCTCAGGAGTGTGGACCACACCTCGTCCACAAAGCACATGATGATGCTGGTTGTTGGCAGTTGGCTGTGGACCAGCTGGTTTGCGCATCTATAACAAACAGAGAACCCCGCTCATGTGCATATCAAGACTGTTTGTGGGACGCTGCTGTGCGCAATTGACCGCCCACGTTTCGCCCACAAACACACAGTCAATTCACTTTACACTATATCCTGAGAAGCACTCTGAGATGTCTCAACGACGTGATCAGGCGCTATATCAAATGTAGGGATTATTATAATTATTATAAAAATGAGGGACACTCGTTTTGTTTGGAGGCTCTTCACATGTAGATTCTACGCCCTGCAGCAGAGTATTACAATACAATGGGATCGTGCTTAAATGCAGTTTCTCCAGCTGTTCAGCTTTTAACATATCCAATTACTTTTACCAGACCACTTGCTTCCATATCTTCCCCAGTCTGTGCGTGTGTGGAGCACACGTGTAAGAAAGGATGATCAGATTTCAGAGCGACTGAAATGTACCTCACCAAAGCTTGAATGAGGTTGTGCAAAAACACTGTACTAAATGAAAAATTTACCACGATGTGAGGAAAGAGCGGGGGTGTGGGACTGATTGGGCAGCTCTTCCAAAGAGCAGGCACAGGTACGATGGGCCAAATGGCCTCCTTCTGTGCTGTAATACTCTATGATTCTATGTGTACAGTCATAATTTGGGTGTAATTGCCTATTGACTTGTTCCCACGAGTTCCTTTTACCTCAATTACTTGGATTAGAGTCAGCAATGTGGTCTGTAAATAATAGTGAGTGCTGCTTCTCAGCACAAATCAAATACTGTTAAATGGTTCACTTCCCAACCTAAGCATCGCTAAACTTGATAAGAGAGAACAGGTATTGGGGAGGAGTTTTCCTGTTTGAATCAGAAGCATATGGAATCAGATAAACTCCCATCCACGTCACTGAAACAACAAGCACATCCTATTCGAACACTTAGAGCAGGGTTAATGTAGGAGATTATTAACTCAACACCCTCTTCCAGAATGCAAATAAATCCTGTTCTCACAGACTGACCCAAACGCAGCTGGGTCGACATGTACAACCTGCAGTGCTTCATTAATATGATGGAGTGCGAGTTTTACTCAGTGCGCAGGCACGGAGGATGTTTCCAGATGAATAAGAATTCCAAACATTCATCTGTTGAACCTACTTTGAACAAGCTGTGTCAGGGGCATTACGTCACCTCAGTGAAATATGCCAATTTTTTTATTATCCATCCACACCTTTAAACGGGCTCCAAATGTCCTTATAGTAGTGAAAGTTATTTTAAATCCCATTGTCTCCGTTGGTTGTGTGTCAGTCACCTGCTATTTGGGTTATGCGGAGCATAAGAGAAACCGAACGTACAACAACAACAGCAACTTGCATTTATATAGTGGCCTTTACGCAGGGTAATGTCTTGGAGTGGATTGTACATGCAATGGCATCTACTAGAAAGTTTACAACTACTGTATTGTTTCAGTTACTCTTTGATTTAGACTCCACTACTGCGAATACCCCACGTGAAAGGCACCACAAGTTGTTGTTGTTGTTGTTTGACTTGGTTTGAGTTTTTAAGGCAGGCAGTTTCTAACAGCACTTCTTAAGGGCACCTTGGAAACGTGTTGCTTTTATGTCTTTATAACAACAGGGCAGTTCCGGGATTCATTGAACGAAAATTCAACCAACGATGATTACAGCAGCAAGGTTCTAGAAATAGATAAACATTTAGCATTGTGGCATCTCCTCAGGCAAGTTTCCTTACACGCCTCTGTTTACCGAGCAGGTAAGTAGGAACCCGGTGGTTAGTAGATTGGCAGATCGCCTTCCAGGGATAATAATCCCTCCACAAAAAAAGTGGTCACCCAATCCACGACTGTCTGCGGGACGCTGCTGTGTGTAATTGTCTGCCGTGTTTCGCCCACACAATGCACAGTCGATCCACTTTACAATATATTCTGTGAAGCGCTTTGAGACATCACAATGTTTTCGATAAGGCGCTGTGTCAAACGCAAGGATTATTATTATTTACAACTCCAGGCAGAATAGAAATTGTAAACGGTATAGGTATCGGGAAAATCCTTTTTATAATAAACTTTTAAAAAAAAAACACAAGATGTTCGGACTTCAGTCGTGAGCTAAAAGGGGGGAAGGAGAGGGAGGGGCAAGGCAGAGAGGTTGGGGGAGAGAGTTCCAAAGCTTTGGGGCGTAGTGGCTGAAAGCACAGCCGCCAGTGGTGGAGAGTAAGGAACGAGGGACAAGCAGGAGGCCAGGGCCAGCCGAGCGGAGGCAGCGGGTAGCGGAGTGGGGAGAAAGCAGGTCAGAGAGGGAGGGAGGTGCCAGGGCGGGAAGGGTTTTGTAGAGGAGCGAGAGGATTTTGAAATTGGAATTGAAATACTAAGCGATCTTACCCAGCAGGTCTGGTATCAGGGAGAGCTCTGTCCAGAGGGATCAGCTCACTGAGGTGCACATTGAAATGTCCTTCTGCCCATTTTGCCTTTGCCACCTGCTCCTGTTCCTTGGGCACTTTTGCCGCCCGCCCAAACTGGCCAACGGCTTTGGGGTCCCGTGGAGACAACGTCATGTCCAGCGTTAAAACACGGTGCATCCCTGGTCTGGGTTCCAGAGCATCAGCTGCCCCACGCTTCACAGTACTGTTTGTCTGGGGGTCTTTTGTTTGATGGACCTTAAGAGCTACTTTCACCGCAGTGTCTTGTAACGAGGAACTAATCCGCTTTATACCAGTTGAGCCGTTCATCTCCTTTTCACCGACTTCAATGTCTGTAAACTTGTCGGTGATATTTGCTTTACCGCTCAGCACGGGCTTTTTATGTTCATGTTTGTTAAACATCCCGTCTTTCGCTCCGCCATTATTAACACCATCAAGTTCGCTCTTGGTTTCATCCAACGCCCTATTGCCCACAACTATTTTACTAACTGAAGGTTGTTGCACTGAATCCCTGGTGACTATGGGAGCAATACTCTTGCTGGTGACTGCGACAGGCACCTCATTGACACGCGCTGATTCCTCCGCCGGCGCTTTCTTTGGAGAGTTAAGTCCGGTTTCATCAGCTGTGGGAACAATCTCTTCATCTTGTGGTTGTTTAGCAAGCTCAGCCTCTCCGGGGACCCCCTGCTCGTCCCTCGGCCCCTCCGCTCCACCATCGGCGGCCTCGCTTTCAGCCACTGCGCCCCGAAGCTTTGGATCTGTCTCCCCCAATCCCTCCGCCTCGCCCCCTCCACCCCCTCTTTTGGGGGGCTTGGCTTTCGGCTCCGAGGCTCGCTCGCTGCTCTCTCGGCGTGGGTCCACGCGTGTGAGTTGCAGTGGCAGGTTTTGCCCAGGGGGAGGCAATATGTCACCCTGGGCTTTCCCTGTAACCACAACCCGTTTGACCAGGGGCTGGAGTGGGGCTCGTGCAGTGGGGTTGACAACCTCAGGCACCTGCCCCAGACCAGGGGGGAGAGGGGACATGGCTGTGGACTTGCCCTGTGGCACTCCACCAACTTGGGGGACTCTGGCGACTTGTCCCACCCCATGTGGAGGGTGATGTCCACCTGCAGCCTGGACAGCCCTGGGCTGCTGGTCAGGATCCGTGTGTGAGGCTGCTCCAGGCAGGACCCGAGCTCTCTGGAGATCGAGACCGGGGGGTGGACCTCTGGTGGGTTCGTGTGGCTTCAGCTCACCCGCTCCCAGCCCGGGCTCCATGGCCAAAGCCGGGGAACTGTCCCCGCGGCGGCTCGGGGTCCCCCCCCTCTCCCGGGGGTCTCTCTTGGCCTCGAAGCCCACCCGCCTCTTCTGGAATCCCTTGTGGACCTCCTTGTCCTCCAGGACCCGGGTCCTGACCAGGTCCTTCTTGGAAAGTTTGCCTCCGGGGCTGTCGGTGAAGGAGAACCTGAGGGCTGCCATGTCGAACATCAGCCAAACCACTGAAGCCACGAAGATGATCCCCAGAACTCTCCCACTGCCCCTGAACACTCTCCTCATCCTCTGCTGCGCCTTTGTTGCCCCTCTGTTGCAGTGTTGTAGGTTCCTCTCTCCTCTCTCTCTCAATGAGTGAGTGAGTGTGTGATCTCAGGGCGTCTCTGGTGCTGACACAGTACTACACTCACTCACACACACACACACACCCATATGTATATGTGTGTGTATGTGTGTGTTTTCAGGGTGGAAGCCCCAGCCCAGACCCCCTGCCCCGGGGCTGTTGGCCCCAGCACTGCCTGCGTGGCATTCCTGCAACTTCAACCTCTCTCTCTCTGTACGTCTGTCTGTGGGGATTTGCTTCCTCCAAAAACAACCCTTTGCAGCTTGTGGTTCATCAGTGCACTACAGTGGGGGGGTGGGGAGGGGTTTGGGGGGTGTGGGGGGGGGTTTGGGGGTGGGGAGGGGGGTTTGGGGGGGTGTGGGGGGGGGGTTTGGGGGGTTTGGGGGGTTGGAGGGGGGGAAAAAAGTTGTGCATGTTGTTACCCAAACAGCAAATGCATCAGTTGTTCAATTGGCAAACACTTAAGTGATAATAGTAAAGCATAATAATAATAATAATAATAATAATAATAATAATTAATAATAATGATCCTGACGATCCTCGTCATAATAATCCGCAACCTTAGGCGAGTCTCCTCGCTCTGCCTGTTGTACCGAGCCGCGTGCGTAAGGAGCCCCCGCACGTTAGTTAGTCGATTGGCGCGATGGCTCTTCCTGGGGTGGTGGGTGAGGGGGCGGCGGGTGGGGGTGGGGGTGGGGTGTTGTGTAATGCAATTGAAGATATCTTTTTTTTTAACAACAAAATGAAAACGATCAGGTCGCGGCAATCCACGGCTGTTTGTGGGGACGCTGCTGCGCGCAATTTGGCTGTCAAGTGAATCGCCCGCAAAATAAACGGTCGGTTCGCTTGACAGTATTATCTGTGAAGCGCTTTGAGACGTTATTACACAAGATGCAACGTAGCACAATTCATTTAATAATAATGATAATGTTTGCGCTTGATATAGTCACTCACTTCCACGGCTGTTTCTGGGGTATTGTGTGTGCAAATCAACCACCACCTACAAAGTACACAGTCATTACGCTTTACAGTGAAATCCTGCGAAGTGCTTTAGAGACGTCCTTTTGCGTCTTATCACATCGTCGAGAAGTCTCAAAGCGCTTCACAGATTATACTGTAAAGAGGATTGACTGTGTATTTTTTGGTGAAAACCCTAAAAGAAACTTTTTTATATGTGTATATATATATATATATATCTATATTACACTTTGAAAGTGGAGACGGAGTTAAGATCATAAAACCAAGTAAGTGCTCTCGATAAGTTAATAATATCAAGACGTGGCCACTACATGTCAAAGGCAACGTTACATCCTCAGGGAATGAAACAAATCCTGTTCTTGAATCCGTCTGTAGCTCGACTAAGTCCGTGGAAATAGCAGTGGTGCTGGTCTCCTTTTGTGGACTTTTATAACGTTCATTTCCTTCCACGCAGACACACGCACGTATTTTAAAGGTTCGTAACTCTGACTTAAGTTTTACAACTTATCAATCGCATTATTTATCAGCCACACAACGGTGTAGCGCGAGCACAAAGGAAGAGTCATGCAAAACCACCTATTTTGCAAATTATGACAACTTGATTTTTTTTTTCCTTTGGAATGCCATCGGTCTTTACCAGATTTTTTGCGAAAGCGAGTTTGCCACGTGTCCTCAGATGTTTAAAGGGACAGTGCCTTCATGAAAAAGTGTTTGACATTGCACCTTTCACCGCAGGAGGAGGTATCGCTGTAAAGTACAGTGACTGTGTATTTTGTAGGCGAATCTGGCAGCCAATTTGTACACAACAATAGCCAAGAAACAGCTGTGAAGTGAATTACTAATTTTATTTGGGGGATTGTTGGCCAGGACACCGGGAGAGAGAAACTCCCTTCTCTTTTGAATAATGCCATGGAGTCCCGTAGTGTAGTGGTGAGTGCGCTGGCCTCGCAAGCGAGAGGACCCGGGTTCGATTCCCGGGCAGGGCGAAGCCACAGGCAAGTCACCTCATTCCACTTGCAAAGGGTTTCATGTTATAAAGTGCTATAAAAATGCAAACTCTTCCTCGCATGTGATTTCAATGACTTACGTAACTATAATAGACACAATCCTGTTTGCCAAAGGCTGTTTCACAAAGACAATCCAAGTCTAAAATGCACTGAAAGGAAATACGAAAACGAAAGACATTTCAGTGAAAAGTTATAAAATAAAAATAGCAACATTCAGTAAAAACTTTCAGAATTTGGTGATTCAAAATTAAACACTTTATGGATTAAAATTCATATTATTTCTGACAAATTAACAACAACAAAATGACGTGTACAGCGCCTTTCACGTCGGGAGGATGTGCCAAGGTGCTGGACAATCAGTGTTTTGGACCCCCCGAGTTGGGGGTTGGGATCCAGGGGAGTGGAAGGCGGGGGGGGGAAGGTGGGTGATTGAAGGCACGGTCAAAGAGGAGGGTCTTCAAACAGGTCTTGAAGGAGGCAAGGGAGGGGACGAGGCAGAGGGCCTGCGGGATGGAGTTCCAGAGGGTGGGGACAGAGTGGCAGAAGGCCCTCCCACCAATGGTGGGGAGGGTGAGGTGGGGGACGTGAAGCAGGCCGGAGCCCGCTGAGCGATAGGAGGTCGGAGAGTTAGGGGGGAGCAAGGCCATGGAGGGATTTGGAGGTGAGAACCAGGATTTTGAACTGTATCCTCTGTGTGATGGGAAGCCAGTGGAGTCGGGTGAGGATGACTGAATTAAGACTGAATTCCTCCAGTCATATCAATGGGTATTTCATAGAATAATGATTAGCACAAAGTGGCCAGTAAGACAATTCCTATTAACCTTTCCAGAAGGTAGTCATATTGGGGTATTAAAACAACATTGGCAATAACAATAGATTAATAATGCTCACTTTTTTCTGTCTCTGAACTTTGAGGTCACTTTTCTGTAGTTTCTTCAAATAAATGACAAACAACATTACAACAACAACAACAACAAGATTCCATTTATAGAGCGCCTTTCATGTCGGGAGGACGTCCCAAGGCGCTGTACAGTTGGGTCAGGAGCCGAGCAGGGGGGAAATGGTCAGGGTGAGGGGAGGGAAGGGAGGGAGCGAGGAGGGGGAAATATGGTCAGGGTGAGGGGAGGGAAGGGAGGGAGCGAGGAGGAGGTAGAGAGTCGAGAGGGGAGGTGAAGGCTGAAGGTACGGTCAAAGAGAAAGGTCTTGAGACCGGCCTTGAAGGAGGAAAGGGAGGAGGCGGCGAAGGCACTGGGGGATGGAGTTCCAGAGCCTCGGGGCTGAGAGGCTGAAGGCCACTGATGGTAGGGCGGTTGGGGCGGGGGATGTGGAGCAGACCGGAGCCAGAGGAACGGAGGGTACGGGCGGGTAGGGAGGGGGACAGTAGGTCAGAGAGGTAGGGGGGAGCGAGGCTGTGAATGGCCTTGTAGGTGGTATTTAAGATTTGGACAAATTTCGGACACTCTAGCATGGTACATTAATAGAATCAGATAGAATTCGTTCCCATGTATTCTGAAATATATATAATAGGCAATTGTTTTGGTCAGCCAACAAAATATATTTTTCTTGATTGAATATGTGTTGATTTAGATCATCATCTCTAGATCGTAAATCAAGAAATATTCAAGAAAAAAGCTGGAAGCACACTAACATTCGAACGTGGACTTAATAATAATACTTGCATTTGATGTAACACCTTATCACGTCTTCGAGTCGTCTTAAAGCGCTTCACGGGATATATTGTAAAGTGGGGTGACTGTATATTTTGTGGGCGAAATGTGGCAACAAATTGTGCACAGCAGCGTCCCACAAACAGTCGTTGATTGAGTGATCAAATTATCATTAACTTTTTTATTTTCAAAGGGATTGTCACCCAGACAAGTGCAAATGTTCAGGTGGGGTGGGGAGGGGGGGGTGCGAGAACACTTCTTGACAGCCCCAGCACAGAACTGATGGGTGGGACAAAATTTGGCTGGCACTGAGGTTGTGACCTTCGGCTTTTGATGGTATGATTTATGTCGTCACCCAAATCTATTGGGTATTGAGTTTTTCTCTCTGTGTAATTTCTGGCCGCTCCCAGTCAACCGCTTGGATCACTGACATTGCAGATTCTCAACTGTTTTTGCAAACTCTCAACCACCTTTTGTCGTTTTTGC